CCACGCCCCACACCAGCCCCACAGGCTCGGGGCACTCACAGCGTTGCGGTCCAGGCTCATCGCCATCCTGCTCCACGCTGTCGTAATCTTCACGCATCCGTGCTCGGGACCCGTCTTCTACAAGGAACGCACGCACATCACCGGGGACTGCCCTCACCCCCGTCCCCTGGCTCCAGGAGGGCTCTCCGAACGCCTGGGCTCCGCCGCCCGACCACCCCACCCCTTCCCCGCAGACACTCACCGTAACCAAAGCCGCGGCCTTTCCGTTTCTTTGCTTTTTCTTTCAATTTGTGGATGCTCTCTGGAACCCCAGAAGGAAAGCGAGGGGTGACAAACAGCCATTGGAGCAACTAGACGTGCGCCCCACCGCCTCCTGTCCCACTGCAGTCTCCCAAGGGGGCGGCGTCTCTGCTCCGCCAGCAAGGAGGCCGTTTCCCTATCGTACCCTTCCCTTGACTGCCCCCTGCTTCCGCAGCCGCCTCCACCGTCCTCACCGTCCCCATCTTCATCCATGGCGAAGTCTTCGCCCCCAGCCTCGTGAAGGTCCAGGACGTCCGCCATCCTGTCTGCGCTGCAGCTCCCGCCGGTGCAGGCTCTGGTCCGTGCTGCTCACGCTTCAGGGAGCTCGGAAAGTCGCGGAGGGAAACTGGTGTCAATGGACCAATCACAAGCCAGGCTCCCTCTTCCGGCGGACCAATCACAAGCCACGCTTCCTCTTCCGGCGCAGTCAAATAACGCAACAGGGGCGGGCCTAAAGGGGCGGATACGGAAGTGCGTCGGAGCCATCGCGGGCGGGTCGGCGGCAATTGCTGGCTGGGTGTGAGGTTGAATTGACTCCTACCCCGCTATAGTGCATGAGAACGCTGGCCTGAAAGCCAGAACTCTTCTTTTTCTTTTTAAAGTTAGAGAGTTGCTTTCCATCGCGTCTAGGGGATGGGAGTTGAAGAATAATACTTCCAGGTCTACACCCTTTCTGAGGTTCAGCTCGACCGACGTCGGAGCAAAAGCCCAAACACGCTGCCGCCTACTCTTTTCAGCCTCACACTGACTGGAGGCCTTTCAACCTGAGATGCAGCTGATCCTAGGGGCTCAATGGAAAGTAAATGTCTAGAAAAGAACGATGGAATATACGCACGAGTATGTCGGATACAATAGATGTATGGTTTGTAACACGAACCCCCAATAAGATGATCTTTTGAAACATAAATATAATAAAAAATAATTACCAGAAAAAAACCCAAAAAACAAAGCCCTGAGATGCTCATCTTCTGGCACTATATCAAGCTGTGTTCCCCTAATTTTCATAAGGTTTTCAGCAATTAATCCCTCAGGAAGTGGACACTCTATTCCTTCTTCCTGGTTTGTCCCTAGGCGGGAAGCTCTGCCGAAACCTGTGCTCCCCGAGTTCCTGGACTGGTGTGTTACAAATGGACAGCACAGCTTCCAGCACCACAGACCCCACACGCCACCACAGCATGACAAACTGACAGTAGAATCGTAATTTTAATATTCAGATTTATGCATCAATCACGAATAACAAAAGGAGTAAATGGAAGATTTTACCAACTTTTGCACTGTTAAATTGATCAAATGTGTAATCAAATGCATTGTTAATCATTGGTGATTGGAATACAAAAACGTTGTTAATAAGAACAAAGAAGGATCATTGTTACTGTTTCACTCACTGCCATAGTCAATGCTGACTCAGGACAACACCTGTGGGTTAACTGTGAGTGGGGTAGAAAGCCCAGTCTTTCTCCCGCAGAGCTGCTGGTGGTTTTAACTGGCGACCATGCAGATCACAGCCCAATGCGTGACCATTATACCGCCAACTCCTGTTCCGGGGCATGAAGCCGGTTCTGACACAAAGCGCCGACGACCCTGTGTGCAACAGAAGGAAGCATGGCCGGGTCCCGCCTGTCCTCACGACTGTTCTGCTTGAGCTCATTGTTGCAGCGCTGTGTCCGTCCTTGTCATGGAGCATCTCGCTCTTTTTCACTGCTCGTCTGCTTTACCAAGCAAGAGATCAAGTCTCACCATCCTTGCCTCTAAGGCGCATACTGGTTGTGTTTCTTCCAAGACATATTTGTTTGTTCGTTTGCCAGTCCCTGGTGCCTTCAGTAGTCTTCACCAGCAGTAGAATTCAAACACAACAATTTTTCTTCCGTCTTCCTCCTCCAGTGTCCAACTGTCACGTGCATCTGAAGTAACTGAAAAGACCATGGCTTGGGTCAGGCACACCTGAGTCCTCAAAGTAACCTTCTTACTTTCAACACTTCAAAGAAGTCTTGTGCAGTAAATTTACTCAATGCATCATTTGATCTCTTGACGGCTGTTTCCATGAGCATTGATTATGGATCCAAGCAAGATGACATTCTTGACCACTTCCATCTTTTCTCCCTTTATTATGATACCTATTGGTCCAGTTGTGAGGAGTTAGGTCTTTTTTACACTGAGTTGTCATCCATACTGCAGGCTGCAATCCTTGATCTTAATCAGCAAGGGCTTTAAGTCCTCTTCACTTTCAGCAATCAAGGTGGTGTCATCTGCATATCATGGGTTGTTAATAAGCCTTCCTCCAATCCTGATGTCATACTCTTCTTCATATAATCCAGCTTCTCTGAGTGTTTGCTCAGCATACAGTTTGAATAAGTGTGGTGAGAGAATACAGCTCTATCACACTCCGTTCCTGATTTTAAGCCATGCAGTATTCCTTTGTTGTGTTTGCACAACTGCCTCTTGACCCTTGTAGAGGTTCTGCATGGGCACAATTGTCTTCTTGAATTCTCATTCTTCTCAAGGCTGCCTATAGTTTGTTATGGTCCACACAGTCAAATGCCTAGTCATAGTCAATGAAACACAAGTAGGCATCTTTCTGGTGTTCTCTTCTTTCAGCCCAGACCCATCTGACATCAGCAATGATACCCTTTTTTCATGTGGTGCTCCAGCTGTTGCGGAGGCTCTCCAGCAAAGCTTTGCTTGCATATGGCATCATGATACTCTTCTATAATGTGGTGAGAATTCTGTTGGGTCACCTATCTTCGGAATGAGTACAACTATGGATCCCTTCCAGTCTGTTGACCAGGTAGCTGTCTTCCAAATTTCTTGGCATAATGGAGTGAGTGTTTCCAGTGCTTCATCAGCTTGTTAAAACATTTCAGTTGGTATTCCATCACTTCCTGGAGGCTTTTTAAAAAAATCATTTTATTGGGGGCTCGTACAATCCTCATCACAATCCATACATCCATCCATTGTGTCAAGCACATGTGTACATTTGTTGCCATCATCACCCCCAAAACATTTGTCTTCTACTTGAGCCCTTAATATCGGCTCCTCATTTTCTCCCCTCCTTCCCCACTCCCCTGGAGGCTTGTTTTTAGCTAATGTTTTCAGTGGCACTTGGACTCTTCCTTCAGTACCATTGCTTCTTGCTCCTGTGCTATCTCCTGAAATAGTGGAATGTCAACTAGTTCTTTTTGGTACAGTAACTGTATGTTCCTTCCATTTTCTTTTGATGCTTCCTGTATCATTCAATAATTTGCCCATAAATCAAACCAAAACCAAGCTTACTGCCATTGAGTCCATATGACTCATAGTGATTCTACAGAACAGGGTGGAACTACCCCTGTGGGTTTCCAAGACTGTCATTCTTTACTGGAGTAGAAAAAGCCTTGTCTTTCTCCTGCTGAATGGCTAGTGGCTTTGAACTGCTGACCTCATGGGTAGCAGCCCAATGCACAGCCATTACACCACCAGGGTTCCTGTATTTTTCCATAGAATCTTTTGCAACTTGAGGTGTGAATTTCCCCCCTGAGTTCTTTCAGAATAAAATATGCTGAGTGTGTTCTTCCTGTTTGGTTTTCTAACTCTAGGTCTTCGCACGTTTGATGATAATAATTGACTCGGAGCTCCCCTACTCCATCCTGTCTTCCATTTGCCTTAGATACTATATGATCAAGAGCACGTTTCAGAGTCTCCTCTGACAGCCACCTGATCGCTCCTTGCTTTTCTGTCTTTTCAATCGCCATTCGCTTTCGTCATGTATGTTCTTGATGTTTTCCCATGGCTCATCGAGGTTGCTGTTGTTACTGTTCAGTGCATCAGTTCTTGAGATGGTCTCAAAATTTGAGTGGGATATATTCAGTGCTGCGTTTTAGCTTTTGTGGACTTGTTTTAAGTTTTTCAGCTTCAACCTGAAGTTACATGTAAGCAAATGATTGTCTGTTCCACAGTCAGCCCTCGGCCTGAACTTAACTGTTGATATTGAACTTCAGTGTCTCTCCCCACAGACGTAGTCGATTTGATTTCTGTGTGTTCCATTCTGGAGAAGTTCATGTGTATAGTTGCCTTTGTGTTGTTGAAAAATAGGTTTTGTCATGAAGAAGTCGTTGGTCTTGCAAAATTCTTTCATGTGATCTTCAGCTTCATTTCTATCACCAAGACCATATTTTCCAATTACTGTTCCTTCCTCTTTATTTCCAACTTTTACATTCCAATTGCTAATAATTATTCATGCATCTTGATTGCATATTTGATTTATTTCAGACTGAAAACATTGGTAGAATTCTTCAACTTCTGCATCACTATCTTTAGTGGTTAATTTTTAATAATAGTTGTTTTGGTTGGAGTTCCTTGAATTTGAATAGATATTATGCTATTAAGACAGCATTGTACTTCTTTTTTTAGGGTTCTTTATTGAGGGTTCTTACAATGCTTATTACATTCCATACATCAATTGTATCAGGCCTATTTGTATGTATGTTGCCATCATTCTTTTCTAGACAGTTACTTTCTATTGAGCCCTTGGTATCAGCTCCTCTTTTCCCACTCTCTCCCCCCACACCCTGGTGACCCCTTGATAAACTATAAATTATGATTTTCATGTCTCACACTGACCACTGTCTTCCTTCCTCCATGGTTTCCGTTGTACTTCCCTCTGGAGAGGAGTGTGAGATTGTGTGTGGATCACTGTGATCAGTTCCCCCTTCTTCCCCTGCACCACCACCCCCTTCACCCTTCCCATCTGGTATCTCTCTTCCCATTCCTGCTCCTGGGTTGCGTGTGTCCTGAGCCCTTATCTCTTATCTACACCTGTGTACAGGCTCCTGTCTAGTCCAAAGTGAGAGGCAGCACTGGGATCATGATGGTGAGGGGTGAGGAAGCCTCAAGGAACCAGAGGAATAGTGTGTGTTTCATCGGTGCTTTAGTGCACCCTGGTTGACTCATCCCTTCCCTGTGACCCCTCTGTGGGGGATGTTCCATTGTCTACAGATGGGCTTTGGGTTTCTGCTCCAATCCCCCTCATTCTTAACCATAAGGTTTTGTTTGTTTTATTGTTAAGGGTCTTCTGATACCGTTACCTGGTCCCGATGACACCTCCTACTCCCACAGGCTGGTGTGCTTCTTCCACGTGGGCTTGTGGTTTCTCTGCTGGGTGGCCACTTGTTTCACTTCAGGCCTTTAACACCCCAGACACTATATCTTTTAATAGCCAGGCACCATCTGCCTTCTTCACCACAGCTGGCTTATGCACCCATTTGTCTCCAGTGATTGCAGCACTGCACTTCAAGATAGACTTTGAAAGGTCTTTTTTGATGAAAGCAACACCATTCCCCTTTATT